GAAGCAGGTCGCTGACCTCTGACATTGATAACACGCCACCTTTCGTGTTTTCATCAAACAACAGTAGTTTAGTCGAATCGTACTCGGGCACGGTTTAAAAGGCACGTGTGGCACGTGAGAAAGAAGTTAGTAATGCGATTTACCCGAATCACGGTTCATACGTTTTCATGTGAACAGGGCTTTAGTCTCCAAGTAGATCTCAAGTTTGGTGGCGACCGGTATTAAAATAGACCAATAGATCAGGTATACCTAGCATTAGCCCTACCCCACATTTATATTACATGAATGCCTGATTTTATCGATCCTAACCACCACACTGTTTCAGATGTGGACGAGTGTTCGAGCAGTCCGTGCCTGGGGGGCGGAACGTGTGTGGACCAGATCGGCGGCTACACCTGCGACTGTCCCAAAGGCACCGCCGGAGACAGGTGTGAGGCAGGTGGGCTTAAGAAATGACAATGACTTTTGTTGCATATTCACGTATTCTACATGGGCCAAATGGGCTAGTTTAGATAACTTATAATAGGTACGAGAAAGAAAGGTCTGAGATATGGGTAAGGATTAGTTGATAGGTATATTCCATTAGTGAGTAAATAAGTGAGTGACAAAGAAACTGTCGACACGAAAAGCACACATAGAATATGACAAAATTACTGTATAAAGCGTTGAATTTGTCACTTTTAAAGATTTCATCCAATATTATACATTATTTGAGCACAATAACATGTATCTAAATGTATATCTTTTTCTGTTTGAACCACTCACACCGGGAAGGTCCCTACTCTTTTCGATAAGTGTGGTGGGTTCTTTAACGTACGTGGGGTGTGGTTCTCCCAAACACGGGACCTCCATTTAACGTACTCATTTACACCTGAATGAAGTAAGGAAAGTCATGTTAAGTGCCTTTCCCAAGGACACAAGATCGGTGACACTGGGCAGGATTTGAACCCGGGACCTCTTGGGCCTGGGCCTAACACGCTACCGCTACGCCATACGGCTACTTTCAATGTCCCAACTATTGTTTTCCCTTTCTTTAGTTGTTGACGGCGGCAGTTGTTACAAGTTCTCCCCGGCCCCGTCCTCCCACTTCGCGGCGGAGAAGGCGTGTCGCGCCGAGGGCGGGCACCTGGCCGTCGTGAAGGATCCCGGGAAACAGCGGTTCCTTAGCAACCATATCCCAGCAGGCAACAGTGACTCCCACTGGATCGGCACAAAGGTCACTTCCGACAAGCTCGTCTTCAGTGACCAACCTAGCGTTTTCGGTAAACTAATTGAAATTATTAATTTTTCCCATTCCCATCCCATGCAATGCGATAAAAGGGGGCTAACCGTCATTTGCATAGGACAGAAAGGCATCGAAATGATCCTGTTGGCGTTAAAGAGCTTATATATGCTCAACGTTAATTAAATTACTATGGGTTGAATCCGAAAACAAACACAGATTGAATTGTTTGGAATATGCGGTTTGTAACATTATAGTGATAACGCTATACTGATTCTGTAACGTTACAAACCACATGTTCGTTGTAAAAAGAACACAAAAGCTTCATTCTCTATTTGTTGTCAGATTCAGCCCATAGTAATTTAAGCATAAAATACCCCAACACCTCAAAACACAGTGAAAAGCAAGCTGTTTAACGTCAACAGTATCATTCTACATGGGCCTACAACTGTGCCTATATTGTATACTGTGATTGTTTTGTATGATATGTAAATGTTTGTAACATTTGTTGTATATTGTTGCGTTGAACTTGTGTAATGTTATTTTTAATGTGCGCCCAGGGATACCTGAAAATCAGATCAACTGATCTGAGGTATGCCCTGGTGAAATAAATAAACTTGAAACCTTCCTGTCCTATGCAAATGACGGTTAGCCCCCTGTTTTCGCATTGCATTCTGGGGACGGGAAACTGGTGAATAAACGTATAAGGATAAAACGATATTGTGTGTATGTGTAGGGATAAAACTATATGTACTTCATTCTTGTAAGCTGTGCCGTTCTTCTATTATATTCTCTACCCAGTCCTTCATAAGATGTGGCCAGTGTTTCATAAATAAAATCCCAAACAAATAAACAAAACACTTTTGTTAGCAAAACTTTGCATACGTAAATAAAGGACGTAGGAAGAATTCTTGGTTGTGTATAAGAAAAGTCAAATATCTTATGTTTTACCGGCTAAACAATTCTGTCTCACTAAGGATTCCTAACAAGATACTTGTCTCACTATTGACAGACCAGGTAGCCGGTTTGGACTGGGCAGAAGATTCTCCCGGCATGCCCTGCGCGCTGTGCGTCCTATTGGACAATGCGGACGGCCACAAGGCTAAAACAACCTCCTGTATGGAGCAACACAGCTACATCTGTCAGTCCGGTAAGTACAACCTCCTGTATGGAGCAACACAGCTACATCTGTCAATCCGGTAAGTACAACCTCCTGTATGGAGCAACACAGCTACATCTGTCAATCAGGTAAGTACAACCTCCTGTATGGAGCAACACAGCTACATCTGTCAATCCGGTAAGTACAACCTCCTGTATGGAGCAACACAGCTATATCTATCAGTCCGGTCATTTTACATGTAGCTACATGTAGCTACATGAACGGCAATCTGATGTTCGACGTAGGTTTCGAATGGGACGTTTTGAAGTAAGCCTCATTTACATAGGTACGGGGCTCAAGGGAAACATAAACTTGTATGTAGTTCTATTCGCAATGATAAGGTGCTAATTGAACATGATATTGTTCTCTATACCTCAACGCATTATACCACAACACAACACAACACAAGAAAACATGAAAGTGCATAACAGAACATCAACAGAACAGGACCTTACGTATATCATAATACTGTATTGAATTGCGAATAGCATTGCACAACATTTATCTTTACTCAGAAACCGCCCCGTGTGAACACAACGTCTGTCTGCACGGCGGAAACTGCAGCTCCTGTTTCGGGGGAACAGACACCGTCTGCACATGCCGCAGCGGCTTCGACGGAAAGTTCTGCGAGAATCACGTGGGTAAGAAATGGTTCAGCATTTTTCAAGAGTGTTCAAAAGAATATTTTTGCTTTATTGTCATGGAATGTGCGAAACGATTGACAAAACAGGTGACCATCACCTTTTCAAGATGTCTTCAATATGAAAACCCGGACACCAGACAGTAAGGTTTTTGTTTGTTTGTTTGTTGTTTCGCATAACCGGTAAACCGCCTTCAGGCGTAACACACCAGTTTTGTACATGTGCGCACATGTACAAGCTGCGTAAGACCGGACTGTAAGTTTTGAACCACTCACACCGGGAAGATCCCCTACTCTTTTCGATAAGTGCGGTGGGTTCTTTAACGTGCATGGGGTGTGGCTCTCCCAAACACGGGACCTCCATTTAACGTCCTATCCGAGGGACGTCCCTAACCGAAGCTAGGTACTCATTTTCACCTGAGTGAAGTGAGGAAAGTCGTGTAAAGTGCCTTTCCCAAGGGCACAAGATCGGTGACATGGGCAGGGTTCGAACCCACAACCTCTGGGGTGTGAGCCGAACGCGCTACCGACTGCGCCACATGACCCCACCGGTTTGACCCACTCACAATGGGAAGGACCCAATTCAAACGGTCTAAAAAGTGTTGTGGATGCTTGATGTGTGAGTGCAACAAAGATCGTAGAGTATCCCTGTCTCAACATTGTCAGTGCACATTAAGTAGTTTGCAAAATATTACTATAAATACATGATATATGTAAATTAAAAAAAATTCATCCGTTGTGGTATGAAAGCGGTTACCACAATTTCTCCATCCTTTCATCACCTAGAAGATCACCAAAAGACCGTGTTTCTACTAAGATCACAAAATCCACTCATTATGCTCAACATGAGACTTCTCGTTATCCACTGCCTTCAAAGAAGAAGTCAAACCTCGTGATAGCAAGCGTAGTAGCAGAAGTATATTAAGTTTTTTTCTAGACAGCAGATGTCTGTTCATTATTACTGTATTGTACCGTACCGTAAACTTGGCTGTGTAAAAGCAATTAGCCTTCGGGCATAATGTTGCAAATGAAGACAATTTGTGTCTGTTGTTATTTCCCAGCCATACAGTGGTGTTCTGTTGCGTCCTGCCCGCCCGGTTGGACCTGTGATGATCAGCTGACTCATTTTCTCTGCATAGGTAAGAACGAGTTACAGACGTAAGCACCTGTCAGACACAGCCGACCATGGTCTCCCGATCTTCTCCCGACCATGGCCTCCCGACCTCCTCCCGACCATGGCCTCCCGACCTCCTCCCGACCATGGCCTCCCGACCTCCTCCCGACCATGGTCTCCCGACCTCCTCCCGACCTTCTCCCGACCATGCCCTACCGACCATGGTCTCCCGACCTCCTCCCGACCATGGCCTCCCGACCTCCTCCCGACCATGGCCTCCCGACCTCCTCCCGACCTCCTCCCGACCATGGCTACCCGACCTCCTCCCGACCATGGCCTCCCGACCTCCTCCCAAGCAATCATGGCCTCCCGACCTTCCCCAGACCATGATTGGGAGTTATGACAAACTATTAACCAACAATAAAATGTGATAGAAAACTGAAATGATATCTTTTTGTCTCCCTTCATGATCAATTAATTATAAAACCACACAATTACATGTAAGCAACAATAAAAATGTGACTGTGATAGAAATCTAAAATGATATCCTTTTGTCTCCCTTTTCAATGAAACCAGAGCCTGTTACAAGAAAGGGTGTACGCCCCTCTCACACACAACCTACACGTACCATTACTCCCACGCATCTGCAGACCATAATTAGGAGTTAAGACTACCTGTCACACAGTTATGTATCAATAAAATTGTGACATAAAGCTGAAACCACCTCTTTTTCTCTCCTTTTTTATTGAATGAAACCAGAGCCAGGCACAAGGACCGGCTCAGCTTATCAGTGCAGCAGCACCTCCTGTCCAAACGACATGTACTGCAAGGAGGAGGGACAGGCATCTTTCTCCTGCTGGTCCCGCTAGGTGTCAGGCAAAACCGCCAAACTACAACTGAGAACAAACTCACGGTCTATTGACTGCTTCGCACTTAGTTTAAGATATAGCGAGTGTTGCCATGTCTAGAAATGTAACATGAAGTGTTGAAACATGGAGAGATGTAACATGCAGAGTTGTAACATGGAGAGATGTAACATGGGCAGATGCAATATGGAGAGGTGTAACATGATGAGAATTGTAACACGGAGGGATTTAATGTGGAGAGATGTAACATAAAAATGTGTAACAGGGAGAGATATAATATGGAGAGATGTAACATGGACAGATGTAACAAATGGAGAGGTGTAACATGAAAAGATGTAATATGGAGAGGTGTAACATGGAGAGGTGTAACATGGAGAGATGTAACAAGGAGAGATGTAACATGGAGAGATGTATTATGAAGAGGTGTAACATATGTAACACGGATAGATGTAACATGGAGGGGTGTAACATGAAAAGATGTAATATGGAGAGGTGTAACATGGAGAGGTGTAACATGGAGAGATGTAACAAGGAGAGATGTAACATGGAGAGATGTATCATGAAGAGGTGTAACAGATGTAACACGGATAAATGTAACATGCAGAGATATAACATGGAGAGATGTAACACGATAAATGTAACATGGAGAGATCTAACATGGACAGACGTAACATTGACAGATGTAATATGAAGACGTGTAATTTAGATGTAACACGGATAGATGTAACAAATGAAGAGGTGTAACGTGATGAGAATTGTAACATGAAGAGATGTAACATGAAGAGATGTAACTTGGAGAGATTAACATGAGGAGTTGTAACATGGAGAGATGTAACATGGAAAGATGTAACATGGAGAAACGTAACATGAAAAGGTGTAACATGGAGAGTTGTCACATGGAGAGATGTAACATGGAGAGATTAATATATGGAGGGATGTGACATGGAGAGATGTAACACGAGAGATGTAACACTGAGAGATGTAACATGGAGATATGTAACACGGAGAGTTGTCAATGGAGAGATGTAACATGGAGAGATGTAACACGGAGAGATGTAACATGGAGAGATGTAACATGGAGGAATATTGGCGGGGAGTGGATCTTGGGTAGCGCACTAAAGCTAACAAGGCTGGATACCAGGCTAGCACTTTCTGCCCTACACTTTCTATACCTTTATTTGCACAAATAACAAGACTTTGACACATAAGGGTAAAAATTGAAATAAAGCAATGACTAAAAGAAACAATACGTTCATTGGCAATAGGCCTATGCTCACTGAACCATGTTTACGATACACTATTTTGAGGTTTCTACATTATCATAAGTTAAGTGATGCTTCTATCAGTTAATCTTTCCCGGTTGCATGCTTAGCCTATCAGAGGCAAATATGTGTGCAGTTTAATACAGATATCAAACCCAGTTTATACCCCAAATGACCCAAATCTTGCGAACAATTGTTCATTATCGTAGACGATTTGTGTGCGGGCATCTCAACACGCTGTGTTGTTGGTTTTTTTTGTCAATTAACACACAGAGGCCCCGCAGCGCCATCTATGAAGTTCAAAGTTGACTTCGTCTCACCCACACAGATTAGTCTGACATTTCCAGAAGAACAAAACACCTCGGTAAAACAACTTCTCGGCGCTTGGTCTGCACAATATGTACATATTCATATGATCACAAATACGCCGTTAGACTAAAAGATGATATAATAATTTTAAATATTTATAGAACATTTACTGCTTTAAATTTTAGTAGAAAAAAGTTGGTGGACCAAATCGTTAGCTGTAGTGTTAGCTTTACCCAAAAAATAATTTATCTCCGTATTGCTTTTTAGACCAAAAGATACAAAATTTCATAGTTAACAATTGGTCGGCCGACGATGATTCTTAGGCAGAGATCTTACCACGCTTTTTTCCGTTTCTTTGTTGTTGTTTTTTGTCAATAACAACACAAAGGATAAAGGTTGCCCAGCAGGTCCAAGGTTGACTTTTGTCTCCCACACAAAATAGTCTGCAAAATATGTACATATTCATATGTACAAAGATAACACTGTAATTTTGACTATTCATAGTATTTCATACACTCAGCTTTTGCTGTTTAAGCCCGTGCAGCCGCCAGACAATTGTGCAGTAGAGATGTACGAGGAAGCAGAGCCTGTCAGGACTCCGCAAGCGGGGTCCGACAGGAAACAGCCCTCCCATGACCCCCCCGGCCGCCTAGGGAACACTAACGGGCATGTCCACCGTGGCAAACAGGCTTGTCATGAGAATAAAGGAGGGCAGGGAACGTCATCGAACGTGTACGAAGAAGCTGAGGTGGTGAAACTGGAGAATATCTCGGGAGACGTGCCTTATGGAACGGACGCGTCTACAGGTAGGGTGCGGCTCCTCAGATTGAATTCCTCCGACTTTTTGTTATCAGATGTTTATATATATACAATAGATAAATAATTACAAGACATTTATCCCCCAAACATATTTGATCCGAGATTGTTCTGATTGCACACATTTATTTGTCCGCCAAATACCTTTGTTTTAATCCTTTTGTGTCTGCAGCGCTGATATAGATTCGATGCGTCGTCATCTTGTCTGTATTTCCTTACTTCTGTTCAGAAAATAAAAAATACATTTTAGGAATAAAAAAAGACGAAATTACATAATCATAAATAAGATTATTTGTAAATTCAGACTAGTCGCTTCGAGAAGTGTTACTCCACATATACTTTCATAGCTTCCCTACGTGCATTTACTGGTGTATATAAAATGTTGAAGACGAACATTTTACTTTGAATTGTACACTACATAACGATAAACGAACAAAGCTGTTCAATCTTCTCTCCGCCTGCTCAACAGAATTTGTTACATTTCATGTTATAGATAAATTCAATTTCATCCTAGAAGGTAATAACCCTTACTGTGTAAAAATAGGTAAATATATCAAAGAATGTTTAGACCTTTAGAACAAGTAGACTAAGTGTTAGTTGACCCATCTATTGTTTTGTACGTAGGATAATTTCGTTGTACCCATGTATATTTGTCTGTATATCTTAGACCTTATGAAAGTCGCTGTACTTTTGTTGTGTCAATAAAGTTTTCATTTGTAATAAATCTGCATTATTAAATATTTCCTTGTCAGACACGGACACCACACAACATGTGGGAGCGCGTGTGTACTGCATGGTGGCTGCCCTGGCAGTAGTGGTAGCTCTGGCCATTACAGGACCCATCCTACTGAGTTTATCAAGGGGGGCTACAATCACGAAGAGGTGATTGATTTTTTTGTTACAAATATTTTGCTACAGCATTTTGTAGAGCCCTGTAAGTCTCTGAGATTTCACAAATTTCATAAACGTACTACTAGTTTATTTGCGTTTAATACCAAGAATTTAGAACCAAAATACAATTTTGATCATAAAATAACCCCCAAAAGTAAGACATTCGATTATTTGGATTTATTACTATGACTTGAGAGCAAAAAATACATTTTGATCGTAATAGCGCCAAAAAAAGCAAGCAAGACATTTTAAGAACTGCATAAAATGACAAAGAGGAGGTATTTGCCTATATGAGATATCCAGCGTCTTTATAATATTTCTTTTGTAAGCTGTGTATTGTTCAGTTTCCAGGACTAATTTTTATATAACTCTCACTTTGGCTAGTTGAGTAGCCATAGCATGTTTTTACACCCCGGATAAATCTTAGTCAAAAACATTACTGCAATCTATGGATTCGTTGGATTCGGCCTATACTCAGGGCTAGGAAAAGCTACCTGAAGATCATGCAATGCGCCCCTAAAATGTAATGGTAGGAGCAAGTGATATTGTCAGTTCTACAGTCACTAAGATGACGTCTTACTAAATACATATGTCTGGTTGACAGAACTATATTAATGTCTGGGGAGGGGGGTAACATTTGTGGCGGCGCGGTGTGTGTGTCTGTTGGGGCACACACCCACGTAGTTCACTCTAGGATTGCCCTCCAGAATACTTCTAATTCAGAGGTAAAAATGCATGCGGTAAGTGACCGTAAGTCACAACAAAACATGATTATCGGAAACATCGCTTTCAGTTGTAGTATCTACTACAACTGAAAGCGATGTTTCCGATAATCATGTTTTGTTGTGACTTACGGTCACATACATGTTTTTCGATGAAATACTTATCTAGGTTTCCATAAGGAATATAAATTTTTCTATAGTGCTGAAGTGTATGTAGTAGGTTTACCACTACCCCTTATTCTGAGCTAGGTTAATTATGTATATAAATTATATACATGAAATATGATATATAACAAAACAAGATGAGAGCAAATAATGCATATGAATCATGCAAACCAGGTCCCCGTTCTATGGGGATAAGTTATATATTATATTTAGCGCTGTAACATACTAATGCTATTTCATAAATACTTGCCATCGGCTATTCCCGGATCAGGGTGTGCTAATGGCAATCTGCATTGTTATATAATTCTAACTAAATATTCCTTGCATTATATCCGTTAACTTTTATAAACATATATGATTTAAATACTGTCTTAGTATTGTCCAGATAGCCATTAGCCTTTTTTGTACTACTAAATTGATGCTCAAGACATTATGCTAGGACCGATTTTATGCTCAAATTTGCCATAAAATTTAAGTTATACTATTACGCCCAAAATATGCATTTTTTAGAGAATAAGCATTATCTAATTTCTGACCCAAAAATGAAATCAAGAATGGAGCAATGTGTTACGACTGGCTTTTTCTACTATGTTTTGCTGAAAACTAGATGATAACTTGAAAAAAAAGTAATATACTATGTTCTAGTGTGCTGTTAACAATATATATTACACGTTATTAAAAATTCATTTTTTGACTCTTGACCCCCTTGAATCTCCGTGCACCCCCCAAAATTGTGATAGGACCGGCCATTTTGGATGGTAAACGTAGTTTATCAATAGATTGAAGTAGATACGTTCAAACTGGCTTATTGATTGGAATATAATTGCCATGGGTACACATAAAAACACATAAACTCAATATTCTAAAACATGTCAACAAGGTGGCCTTATAACAGAAGCAACTGATAATGGTTGCGAATAAACAAAATATCAGTCATAAATTACCATGTTGTAGTGTCCATAGATATGTGTAGTGTCCGTAGAGATTGTGTACCACCTAGGCCATATGCAGAAGTGTAACAACATTTTTTGGACCAATGTTGCAATTTGTAGAGAAATCTGTACCATCCTTTTCGTTCTGTAACCTCGTTTTACATTCAAAACCAATCTCCGAAGGATATAAGGATACGAGTATTTCTGTTATGCTGTAACTCAAACAATGCACTGTCACTGAAGGAGCACAACGTATAAATCACTGATCGCTATCCAAAAATAATGAAAAAACATCATGCATGTTATCACTGTTATCACAATTTCTGTACTGAAAATTGAAAAAAAAATGGCCCAAGTGCTTGACTTGACTTAAGTCGGGTGCCAGTCCTCCTTCGCCACCCGAACCACAATGGCTACCCCATAGCTTCTGTACTGCATCGCCTTTCCCAAGCCTTCAGCACGAAGGCCAACATCCCTTCGTAGCACATCTGGGTAAGTGAGGGGTCCCAAGTGCAATTCCCTGGTACACACTGGTAATACCGTCTGGTACACCCCGATCTTGGAATATCCGAATAGAATAATTTATAAAAGATTCAGTCAATGTGGTCTAGCCGGACAATAGCACCAAAGCATTTCATATCAGTATAATGAACAAACATACCTTATTCAAACCATTTTCACTTCGATCTTTAGGACATATCCCACGTTCCAACTACAGTGGGTGCCTTTAACCTGGAACACAAGCAGAACCAAACAGCCGCTATGGAACAACGTCTTACTGAGAAAACAGGTAGGTTGGTTTAACGCTGCCTTTTAATGTAACAGGGGTGCCTGTGCATTTGAACGTATCTTACTTATAAAACCGCATTACTGCGCCAAAATGCACAAATCTTACAAAAATCATCCAAAGACGGAACAAATTACTATGTGGAACTGAGCGAATGTTATGGAAAACGCACCCATTAACTCTATCTAGACCGGGCTTTTTTGAGCTTGGTGGGACCGGGGGTGTGTGTGCTCATTTGACCCCCCACCCCCCTTTAGAACTCGCGAACGGTATGTCGTATAACCACCAGAGGATGGTGTACTAGTAATAGTATTCTCCGTTAACGTGTGCAATTGGGGGTTGAAAATGGCGAAAAATAAAGTTCTCTATAAAGCTTACGTAATGGGCCTAACTTGTTACTGCTATTGTTCACTTTCCCAAACAAGTTTTGGAAGGTGCTGGGACTTTCCCTTTTTTGAGATATTGACCGTTTATCGCCGTGATGTTACTTATATTTTGGTGATATCGAAAAAGCGTGTTAACCCACTGGTGATGTCTTCTACACGGCTAATTCAAGAGTTCAAACCGTTTTTCTGACTTTTATCCAAGCGGAAGCCCTTGGCGTGCCTGTTAGTGGGTAACATTTGATAGCTCTGTCTGCTTTTTGAGAGAAATCACCTAATTTTGTTCCGATTAAGTTGGAAAAAGTGTGAACAAATCAAATACATAACCCCATCTTTTCTCGTGTACAAAAAATACGTGCAACATCCACTTCGTTTTCGCCGGAAGGAAGACCAAAGAACTGTAGAATACAACGGTGAAAAAAGTTGGGATGAACCTATATATACGTAACCTACAGACGTCCTTGCATTATAGTAACGTAAGTCAATACTTTAGTAACGTAAGTCAATCATTTTCAATATGAAATATACAGTGGTTGTAACGATTCACTTATGTGTATACGTGGCACTAGGCATGCAGCCTACCTCTGTTTGTTCGAAATAAGCTAAATGCCATTAATAACTATGGTAACGTAAGTCAACATGGTGATGTTGCTCCGCACTGACCACGTTACATTTTTACTACATGTCTGTGGACTGAAAGCCAATGAAGAAATGCAACTATCAAAAGGCTCTGATAGCTGTCAAATTTATTGAATACTGCTTATTTCATTAATTGTCCTCAATTACTGATGGTAACGTTAGCCAAAATAACAAACCGGACCGTCACGGCGTTTGAATGGCCACAGAGGTAAGAACTCACACAACTGTCAAATACATTGAATAGTGTGTATACATGTATCATTAAGCTAACTGTCCTCAACTATTAATGGTAACATTATAACAAACCGGACAGATATTTAATTAGCCACAGGAGACCCGACGCAAGTTCTGTCAACTGTCAAATACATCGAATAGTGTGTATACATGTATCATTAAGCTAACTGTCCTCAACTATTAATGGTAACATTATAACAAACCGGACAGATGTTTAATTAGCCACAGGAGACCCGACGCAAGTTCTGTCAACTGTCAAATACATCGAATAGTGCTTATATCATTAAGCAAACTGGCCTTTAAATACTCATGGTAACATTAGCCAATATAACAAACCGGACACATGGGGAAAAACCCACCCAAGTTCTGACAAATTTTAGTCAGATACTGTGTCACTTGTTGGCCACTTTCAGTGCAAAGCACTCTTCTATGTGTTGAAGTGTGGCCTCGGAAAAGGTGAACATCCTTTCAGACTTTGCCGTCGGAAGTGGCTTTGGAACAACGCAGAGCACGTCAGCCGGATCGATCCAGAGATCATCCTTCCTCTGTGGCCACTTGAACTTCTGTCCGGTTTGTTGCATGAACCGGACACTGTACTCTCCATCATCTACATCCTCCACTTCTCCGACGTACCAACTAGAGTCATACACCGCTGCCACATAGTCGCCAATTCCAGCTACAGGAACCGATGCCTGGACAGGACCTGTTTTCCTGTTTTCCAATTTGTGAGTATCCCACTTACACAGACTTGTATCTGTGTGAAACCCATGCGAGTGGAAGCACTTCTCACAGTAGCAAGAAGTGGATCTTGTCTTGACTTCACCGGATCTTCCAACCACCGCGTGGAATGACATAGTGCCAGGAATGGCCTTCACGCTACCGTACTTCTCGGTGAGGTAAGTCTGGCTTTCCTTACACTCATATTTGCTTACAAACATATACTTTATTGAGCTTCTCTCCTGGTTTGCAGCCCATGTGTAAAACTCTTTTGCATCCTGTATTGTTGTGGCCTGGCGGTTTACAGCTTCATCGGCCATTCTTTTAGCCGTCCCTCCGACACCATCGCATGGACCTTTACCGTGCCCAGCTTCGAAGTAATTCCAGCTGGCAGGCATTCCGAAAAGGGATTCATGGTCAGAGAGAATGCTGAAGATGGTTTTGTTCCTGTATTGAGAACTCGGACTGTCCGTCCAATAGTGAATGAATTTCACATCTGGATGTTTCTCCTTAACTTCAGGCACAACCCTCTTTAATATAGCGAACACCGTCGCTGAATTGTGTCCCATTTCATCAGAGACTATGCAGGTAGATTCGTGTTGCAGTTCTCCGTTTTCATTCTTGAAGTAAACGACGATTGGGTGCAAAGTGACCATGTCACAATTCCAGTAAGCTGACTGGATTTCTTCATTGTTCTTAATTTTGTAGTGTTTGGCAAAGTCCATCTGAATGGCAACGTTATATTGATCCAAGTTCTCCTTCAGAGTTTTCAGCTGACTGTACTGCTCGTTTGCACGGACGACGTGCTGTCGGAACTGTGGCACCTCTTCTTTGAACTTAGCACAGAAGGCGCTTGTCTCCACTTCTGACGTCACAATCTTCATTTTTTTCTTTCCCTCCACTTCCACTCTTTTCCATTCCTCATATTTTACCATACCGCCTTGTGGTAACTTTGCCAAAACAGCATCCACCTTTTCCGCATCTGGGAAGGCATGCACGAAGTTGTCTGGGCTGGTTGACGTCACACAGTTGTTTTGCTTTAATGCCTTTAGTTTTAACGCAAAGTTTTGATGCCTTGTGCATAGGCAGCTGTTTCTTGAGAGGAAACACGCAAGCTTCACGTTCAGTGGTCTCATTTTGGCAAACTGACTCAGTGAGATCTTAAGACCCGTTTCAGCCTCAAACTTTTCACGTAGATCAGACAGATAATTTGAAAGGATTCGGACTTGTACCTTCTCCTTTCCAACTTTTTTGCAGTCATTCTTCCCCGGCATTAACCGTGAGTTATCATCCCTTTCCAGGAACTCACGCACTTGTCTCTGGATTCTGGAGCGCGCAAGGGCACGTCTGGTTTTTTTTGGGTTCCTAACTTTGCATTCCTAGCCATTCCAAGTTCATTGGAGAGGGTCTTCATCATTCGGTACTTCTTGACCACCTTGCCAGCAATTACGTTTCTGAAGATACGTTTTCCTTCCGTCCTTTTTTCTTGTACGATTCTCTCAGTTCTGACGTGAAGACGTTGGAAAACAGGATTTTCCTCCTCAACGAACTTGGTACTTGCCGCGGTGTTAGCCCAGCCTGACGTATCTCAGCATTGGTTTTGCTGCGTGGTGTTGAGACTTCAGGAGTGCTTTGAGCCTGGTTCCTTGTCAGCCTTTCGATTCTTTTCTCTAGCTTTCTTTTTACTTTTAATGCTTTCTCTAACTTATACTGCATCCGCCTTACTTTACTGCTGCGCCCACTTTTCTTCTTAAAGTTCATTTTGATCTTAAGTTTTGGAGTAGAACGTTTTGCCTTTTGTCTTCTCATTTTTTCTCTTCCCTCTGCTCTTCGTTTTTCTAACTCTTTCTTACCAACCAAAGCTGTCGGTACGTAGTACTTCATCACTCTGGCGACTTCTTTTGTTCTGTACTCGTCGCCATCTCTTGCCTTCTTCCTTTCTCTATACGCCCTTTGTATTTCAGCTCGTGTCTTGCCCATGATCTACATAGAAGGCAAATACACAATAAAAACTTGCACTAAACAGTGTACAACAGTAATGGAATATAGTTTGAGGTAGTGAGTTGAAAGTACTATGACGGCTTGTAAAGTTTGATAACTCTATAGCATAGATGTTGACTTACGTTACCGTTTGCTGAAGAACCTGTGCAGAAATCCACACATGGCGTACTATTTTGACTATATAATCATGTTACCTATGGATTAACACCTATAGGAATGAACAGATACTGTCTGGTCCCTTGATAAACATCGTTATCGCAAACAGTCACGCCGGTGTTGACTTACGTTACCAATGCCATGTGCTTATAACTATTCGGATTCCTCTATGAAACAGGTGTATATTTGAACCCCTCTATTACCCTTGTGAGTTAATTCATCATTCTGCAACAGCTAACAAATATTTTCTCTGAAACTTAGAGAGAAAATATTACAAACTCACCTTTCTAGATAGGAGATGGCTTCATGCCCGATAGGAGATGGTTGTAGTTGTCTGTTGAATGCTTTTCAAGGTCAGAACGGCGACGAACTTTGACCGCAGAGGTGCTACACAGAACGAGGCTGACCCTTGACACACCCTCTGATTTGCAATCCTGATTATCCTATTAATCGCTGTATGTTCGATAACGCATACGGTAATGGTAACGTAAGTCAAGGGGTAACGTAAGTCAATTTTGACACTTACTTGGTGAAAAAAATTAAACAGTCAGGTTGCTGAATGAATTAGCGGCAGGTAAGTACTTATCTTGTTATGCCCTTTCTTGCAAAGGGCAAGTGTAGTCTACTGTTTCTATTTGGAGGAGTAATAATGGTAACGTAAGCTTAATGACAAAAAACTGCCGAAATGCTTTAAGCTGTAACAAAGCTGTAATTCATCCGACGATAGTTTGCAGTTGCCTCTATAGTGTCTTTGATAATGTACCACATACGGTAGCTGACTAAAACACTTAAAGAGTTCGGGCAAATCACCCTGTTGTGACAGATTTTTATTCATTCGTCTTTGTAACGTAAGTCAAAGTTAAAAACTTGCGACAGGCATAAATAGCACTTGGGCTTGAGATATGCGCTACTTGGACAAACTCCCCCGCTTGTTTCATGTTGATCTCAATGGTAGGTATAAATCATCGATTAAATTCTATTCAAGAAACGCGTTTTTCAACATTTAAATGCAGTGCCTAATGTGCTATTGGGATTTGCGACAGGCCTTTTTCGACGGTTACAGACCAAAACATTGTCCTTTACGACCTAAAAATAGCCTGCCATGGCGGTAAAAAGGATACTATTCATATTTCTAATATCTACTGGTGACATTAAACCACCAAAGTCGAAGGCAATGTGCGATTTAACAATTTGCTACAAGGATATTCTTGTGCGACAGCAATTGCACACGTTAACGGAGAATGTCGTCATTATGACGTCATTTTATTGGCCAAGACCGTCTAGATAGGTCATTCCCTGAAAACTACCAAAACATAACTACCAAAAGTGTTTATGACAGTAAATTAGGGTGTAATAAGTCTTATGTTGCCCATAGCAACACTGGTGACGTCATATAATGACGCCATGCATATTTAAGCTATCCGCCATCTTGGATCATCAATGTTAAATTTTCAATAATAGATTTTTTTCAGGATAAAGCCTAAATACATTGTAAACAGACTAAAGACGTTCAAATGTACCTCTTTTATAAAAAGAAATGCAAGTATTGATGAACTTTTTAAGGAAAATAACCTGTATATACCTGTTCTAATGATATGGTCCACCATCTTGGATTTTGGCCAATTACGTCATCAAATTAGCATAAATTATACATTTCTAATTAATAGAATTTATATTACAAATCATGTCATGTGTAACTTGACATAAAACCCATAAAATTCTCTTGTTGCAACGAAAATTACTAGATTTAGCAAGAAATGTCTGCCAGAAACCCATTGCCATGGCAATACAAGAAAATTATTATCTTATTTCAATGATACAAAGTCGTTGCCAACAATATTCTAGGAAAAGTCACTAAGTTTGGCTATTCTAGCTCTAGCCGTTCAGACGCTATGTGACATCAAATTTGGCGCGGGCACTTTGTGTAGTAGGAACCTTGCAGTTGCTGCAAACCAATGATTATCCAGGACTGTTATGTTACAAGCCAGGCTATTATTTACATTCAATTTAGCACATTATAGAAAAAAATATTCCAAATATGTGCCTATTTTGTTTACCATAGATAAACATTTCGAAATTTGTGAGTTAATAAGAATTTCTTACTTTGATGTTATTGTATCTTATCTTATAATATGGTACATGTACATGTATGTGTTGTTTACAGTGAGAAGCCTTAAAAGCAAAGAAGACGAAATAAATGTTGCTTTGAACAAAGCTGCTTCGCAGAGCAGCTTTTTTTCGGCATTATACCCTGCGGAAAGAGCTGTGGACGGCAACACGGGAGCCAACCTGTTCCATCTGCGTGAGTGCACACATACCAACCTGGAGTACCAGCCGTGGTGGAAGGTTGATCTTGGAAACACCTACGTCATCAATCACGTGACAGTCACCAACCGTGGAGACTGCTGTGGTAGGAAGCCGTCTTATTGGCTGTAACATTAAACTGTTTTATTGGCTGTTTTATTGGCTGGTTTTATTGTACATAAACTGTTTTTTGGCTGCTACTTTAAATTTAACCCATTGTTTCTTTATGTGATACTTTTAAATTATATTTAGGTATTATTAAGCATTTTAATAATTGTTTTAAAAAACAATACAATACTATCCAATCCAATAATAGACTATCGTAACAGCCACTGAAATTGTTATTGATTGATTTATTGATTTGTTATTTTTCATCTACTTGTAGCCAAAACTCTTATCTAGCTTGGTTCACCGTATTGTTTCATTACTTATGAAAAACTTGATTATTTTGTTTAATTGAACTTCATTGTACTTGTTTATCATCTTTTCATTACTTCTTAATTGTTATTTATATTTCATTTGATATAACTGTTGAAATTGTAAAACCATGATTATGAGGATTCAAATAAGCCTTTGTATTGTAATATTGTAATATTATGTATAACTTTTATTATGTATGTGCTAATAAATGAATAGATAAGTAAATAAAAAAATACACCTTGTAGGGGAACGGCTGAAAGATTTTATGATACGAGTTGGACATAACGAGGACATCAGCAAAAATGAACAATGTGGAGACACCTATACGAACATCCCAGAAGACGGAGAAATTCTAGACATACAGTGTACAACTCCCATCTCTGGCAGGTGGGTGTCTGTTCAGCTGTCAGGGCGGAGGGACTACCTGTCACTGTGTGAAGTACAGGTGTTTTCAACATCAGGTTAGTAAAATACTCGTACATCTTATCGTGAAAGTTCATCTGTGTACTTTGTAGTTACATGTTTAGAGTTGAAACTTTTGGTCCAACACAAAACCTTCTCTCATCTAGAGCTTTCGACCAGTCACCCTGGTCTTCCTCGGTAGAACTGACCCAGTGAAGCTTGTCACGTGGCTTTTTTGACCCAGTGTTGACGTCACACTTCAAAGAAGTCACGTGACAAGCTTCACTGGGTCAGTCTACTGAGGAAGACCAGAGTGACTGGTCGAAAGCTCTAGGTGAGAGACCTTTTTTGTGTTGGACCAAAAGTTTTAACTGTAAACTCGTACATGTTAATTTAATGATGCAATAGATTGTTGTGATGAATTTTCAGATGTCCGTATCGTCTACGTGTATCCTAGGGTAGCTACAATATTTGAATTCAGCTGCAATGGAAATAAAGATTACGTTAATGTCGAACGTGGTGCCTATATAAATAGTTTCCTCACCAAGTTGTTTTTGCTACTGATAGTATGTTTGTACGAATATAAATTTTCATCTTTGCTTCTACACACTGAAACTGTTTCATTGTATTTGATAATTTTCTTCCCACATTCTGCTACACACAATAGATTTTTACATAATGATATCCGGTGTGAATGATGCTGATGAACATCTTGTTCTTGGAAAGCTTTGGTCCGCCCCCAACGTCACTACAACACATTTTTTTTATTCCAACATCTAATCACAAGACATGGTGACGGCACATTCAAGTTTTTTTTTCAACTTAATATATTAATGCCGCCACCAACACAGGGGACAATACAATACTCATTTTTATCTGAGCGAAGTGTGGAAAGTCGTGTAAAGTGCCTTTCCACGGGCACAAGATCGGTGGCATGTCAGGACTCAAACCCGGGACCTCCTGGTTCCAACTCGAGTACTCTGCCGCTACGCCACACGACCCCACTACTGTATGAATGCAACATGTTGCCGAGGTAGCAACGAGCGGACCAAAGCTAACAAGAAGAGATTCCAGGTCATGAATGAATGCAATTTTGTTTGTCGATGACACAAGCAGTATTCTTGACTTTAAAAAGATGTTTTCCCCCAAACTCTACTCAGTCTAGAGGGAAGAGGAACACGTACAATCACGGAGACATCGTCCACTACGTACCGGGGGAACCGTGAGCGTGTTAACGATATCTAGAAGGGCTCACCAGCTGAGCATCATCTTCATCAACATCTGTATGTTTCTAGGCATTTTCATTATTTTACTTATTATATGTATGTTTATACAGCTGTGTAGATGGTTGGACATGATAGAAAAATATTCAGAGATTGAGTGTTTGTGCATTTGAGTTTCGAACTGCAAATACTGTACAAGTAGCCTGGGTACCATTCTGGTTAGTTTACTGGAATTCCCATTTATTCCTTTAATAATGGGGGCAGGGGGTGGGGACAAGACCCCTGTTAAAAATAACGAAGATGTTACCCAGCCAAGAATACATGTCTAGTAACTAGAGAAGTATTGGGTTTTATTGAACTTTGTGATACGGGGGTGTTCGTTAAACATTGATTCTGGGTTATTGTAGCTTTAAAAGTTGTTTGAATTTTTCCTTGCTAGCAGTACTGAATGTATCATTTCTCTTCTGCCGTTTAGGCAAAGTAATGCAATTGAATTCTGAGTCTTTAGCTGTACACCTTAAAGTTTCAAACAGTTGTGACTCAATGTTTGGCTTTCACAAGCTTTCTATCTTTAACTTTGGGAACTTTGGCAGCAGGAATTTGACAGGAAATGTTAATGATCGCTGTTACTATAGATTTTTTTTGGAGGAAAATTGGAATTAAAACAAATGCTTTTATTGAAATTGTAAATTGAAGATTATGTTTGTAAGCTGTGCTATAAAAGCATATAACTTGAGCTTGTGAGAACGTTTTGTTGAGAAAACATGTTAACATGTTACATTGGTTAGCATCAATAGGTCACTAACAACAAGTGTTGGAATATTTTAGTGTTTTCTTAAGGAAATTGTACCATCATAACAATTGCATTTATCTAAGCCGTTGCTTTATCAAGTCACAAGCTTAGTATAACAAGTAAGGACCTTGTGATGACTAAACAACTGTTAAATATTATTTCACATTGATGCTTTTTTTAAAGAAATTGTACCATCACAAAGATTAAGTTTTTAATTGTGCTATTTAAAAGCTTCTGGTAAAAAAACAAGTGTTTAACACCTTTCACTGGTTTGCAATGATACGTCACTAACAAGAAGAATACTTCAATGTTTTAAGACATTGTGCCATCACATGTACAGCAATTACGTTTTTAACTTGTGGCTTTATTAAGCCATCAGCTTAGTATTACAAGTAAGGATGCCATGAGGACTTTCTAACAATTACACATTGAAGTTTTCTTTAATTGTACAAGCAAAAACATTCTTTAATTGTGACGAGAACAAACATTGAACATTTAACATTGGTTAGCGCTGGAAGGGCTCTTACAAGAAGAATATAATCCTTTAATGTTTTAAAGAAATTGTTCCATCACGAAAAGTATGCTTTTAAGCTTTATAAGCGATAAGCTTAGTATTGTATGAAAGGACCTTGCGATGTCAAACCAACTGTTTAACAATTACACATTGATTAACAATTACACGTTGATTTTACCACAAAGATAAAGCGTTTTGTAACTGTAATATAGAAGCTATAAGCATGTAGTCACAAGAAGTAAGAATCTTTTGACGATAAACAAATGTTTAACATTTTACACTGGTTAGCATTGCGACGGCACAAACAAGACGAATCTTGTAGTGCTTTTAAAGAAATTATACCATCACAACAAATATTTTTAAGCTGTGGTCATGATAAACAATAAGCATTGTATTACAAGTATCATGCATATTAAATCCAGCTATTCTCAAATCTTACCATAGTTCGATAATATATCAATCTGTATTTGTAACATTAAGACGGTGCAAAAAGTCAATTTTCTTTGTCATTTCCTTAGAAAGTAAGTTAATTCAACCATCGCAAGTAAGTACTATTCAATTAAAATGGAGATGCCAAAACATACAAGTCTGTTTAAAAGCTAGAAACACAGCTTTCCGCCATGTTTGTTTACATTCTAATAGTTTGTGGTGGTACCACAAACAAACTGCGCCTCGTATTGGCTGGTTTAGCGCCAAACATAAATGTCAGGGTGTAAAATACAAACGCACGATGAATTTTTGTTTTTCAATTTGAAATATTTCAATTTTTGGTGCCAGTATGTTATATTTTGCCTATTTTTAATGATAATTGATGTTTCAAACTTAAATATATAAAGAAGAAATGGATTCCGTTTGAATTGGATCCCGACATCTTCGGGTTGGTGCGTAATTTAAACCCTCAAACACCCGAACGGGGTCCATTTGGACCCCAGGCGTATATTTTTTGTGCTATTTGAAAATTCTTGATTCGAAAAAAAAACCCTTCCGTGAATTTGTCAATAAACCTCTTCTTCGAGCTCTCCTGAATTTTTTTGGGAGATCAACACAAAGTTGTAAAAATAAAAACGGGAAGTTTCATGTGAGACCATCAGGGGTCCAAACGAAATTGTTTGGATGTCCTCAATATGTCTTCAAGGAAACATCATTGCTTTTATTAATTGATATTAAGCAGTTTGCCAAGTAACCTCAACCTCAGGCATTAGGACATCAGGTTTTCAGAGTTTTCAGACCTTTGACAACGATATGTGGTCAAAGGTCAACCCCATGTTCATGCCTGTAGGCATCAACCTATTTTTGCATAAATTATGACAATAAGCTGGAATTTTTGCACTTAATTATGCCACTGATCACTGAAAGATCACTGAAAGAGTGCAAAAAGGAACATAAATTTAAAGGAAACCAAATGGGGTCCATCTGGACCCCGTTCGGGCATTAACGTCACAAACAAAGTTCGGGTGTTTGAATGTTAATGCGCTACTTTGTACACAACCATGGTTATCATAACAAGACGTGAAGAATAAAAACATTTGTTAATTTACAGCAATTTTTGTGGTTCTTTATGCAATTAAACACTACATAGCAGTACAGAAACAGTGATATACACAGATACTGATATTCATGGTTGTTTTTTTCTTGCGTAGATCGTAGTTATTACCTTCACCAAGAAGGTTATGTTCTTGTTGGCGTTCGTGTGTGTGTGTGTGTGTGTGTGTGTGTGAACTGCGGGGGCATTTGTTGAAAAAGGTTTAAAGGATAGAGGATTACTCGAAAACTGATTGATGGATCGTCGTCACTTTGGTATGTAGGTAGCTTAAGTGATGCTTGACATAATGATAGTACAACTATGCAAATATGGATGTAATTTGCATAATGCATAAGGAAATTCTATAAATCAGTTTCATTCCGTATTGGGGCTATTCAAGCTTATCACATATGTAGTTAAGAACGAGAGAAACACAGGCAAACATCAATTGTGCAAATTAAGGCTATTGGGAATATGCATGATTAATGAGAAAGTGATATAATTCCATTGTGGTAACTGCCTAAAATATCATACTTGGGCATTTAAAAGTTAAGTGAAGACGAACATTAAACATTAAACATAACTTATTTAAATAAGTGCCTAATTTGCATAATTTATAGGGAAATACTATAATGGCATTCTTTACCGTCTTTATTGTTACGATAAGACTGTCTTTTAGTGTACAATATGATCTACATATGATTCATGCAATTGAGGTTCCTATTTGCACAATCAGGGGGATTAATCTATGATTTCTTAACCCTAAACAGTACACCTGGGGTCCGCGCGGACCCCAGCACTATATATTCTGTAATATCTTTTTTGTTTCTAAAGATTTTTTTCTGAAATTTTAGGTAATTGTTACCCACAAAGTTGTCCCTCAATACAGTGCAGAAAACTTCGTTTCTACCATTTATAAAAAAATTATATCTGATTTTCTTTTGGGGTCCGCGCGGACCCCAGCCGGCTTTCGATCATAATGGATACACTGGCGTTCTTATACATTACCTTATTTCCATTTTTATATGTTTTTATGCACTCATCGTATGTGTACCAAGTTTTCAGAGAATGGTGTAGTAATAGAATTAGATTTTAATAACTTTGGTGTAATTATGACGTCATATGACGTCAGAGCTAATAATATAGTCCGCCATATTGGATTTTGACAAATGAGCATATTCTATGCATATTAAATGATTTAACTTATATCTAATTATGTAATATGTTATTAATGTTGGAAAAGAAGTGTAATTTAATATAAAACTCAGAAAATTTTATGTTTAAACCAAAATTACTTCTATTTTCAAAAAAATAGCCCGTTGCCATGGCAACACAAAAAAACATCAACTTACTAGTATCAAACTAATATGAACGTTTTTCCAGAGACATTTTAGGAAAGGTCCCCAAATTTGATACTTCTAGCGCAAGCCGTTTAGCCGCTATCTGAGATCAAAGTTGGGCCTCAAAAGCCCCTTCAGTCTGAAATGGGTTTAAAAATCGGGTATTTCTTCTCGTCTTCTTTTCTTCACCAAAAAAAGAAAAAGTTCAAAATGTATGATTTTTGTATGTAATGTGGACACAGAGGTTCCCACATCAGTTTGCAAAACAATTGAGCTGCTAGCATGTTGATAATTTCTAAAAATTAGCAAAAAACTGTTCTGGGGTCCGTGCGGACCCCAGGTGTACAGATTAATCAGTCCGGGAAGGTGTACTGTTGAGGGTTAATCATAAAGTCTAACATAAAGTATTAAGTCTAAGTATGAGATCTCTAGTCTTGTAATGTTATGTTAATTATTGTCAATTGATAAATATAAGAAAATCTAGGTGCTACAAACGGGAAACATGGTTACGGGTTTTCAGACAGCAGTCATCATTGAGTAACCATGATGCCAACTAGTACAGTAACTTCAATTGGTATTCAATAAATTGATTAGGTAATTCATAATGGAGTGAATCGATTGTACGATTCACTCCAAATGTGCAGATCTTGGCACTTTGGCGATTCCAAATCCATCTGTGTCCTCATTAGTGTTTGGACACAGTATCAAGTAATAACTAATAGCAGAAAGGCCCGGTGGGCATCAGGGAGCGAAGTCGTGTAAACTGCCTTTCCCAAGGGCACAACATCGGGCATGTTAGGGGATCGAACCCGGGACCTCTTGGATCCGAGCTAAACGCTCTAGATGCCATCCAATGGAGTTAAGGGTACCTTAAAACCCTTGTCCTAACAAGCCATCGGCTAGTATGACCTTAATTAACCCTAAACAGTACACCTGGGGTCCACGCGGACCCCAGCACTATATATTCTGTAATATATTTTTTGTGTCTAAAGATTTTTTTCTGAAATTTTAGGTAATTGTCACCCACGAAGTTGTCTCTCAATACAGTGCATACTACCATTTGTAAAAAAGTATTACCCTCCATGTAAATGGGGGGTATTGTTTTTACTCCGTTTCATGTTTGGTCTGATATCTGAAGATCGGTGAGAAGGAACTGTATGATATTTGACAGATTGATGGATGGGGCCTTGGAGATTGTGTAGGTTGACTTTGAGCACCTGGTGATTGACCTTGGTACTGCAGTTTAATTTTTTTTATTCTATTGTTGGCACGTTATGGTCTGTGTGTGCGATGCTAAGGTAGCATGTAGTTGTGGTTACAATGGTTTACTGATGTAAATTTGGGCCCCCTAGCTGTTTGCTTTGAACCGGAATTGCTATCTCAATGTCAGATTGTTTGCGTTGAATGATCTCAGAACCCGGTGGATGGTTGGCGATCATTTTTGGTATGTGGGTAGACGCTGATTGTCTTTGCGTTTTAGCGTGCATTAGCAGGTTGTCGTAGATTTCCATTGCTTATTTAAAAGGATTTTCACATTTTCACCCCTATTTCATAATAGGATGGTCTGTTTGACCCCAAATTGGTACAGAGTGTTTTTGTTTATACCTCCAGCTGGCAGGTCAGGCCAATCTATTTTTACCTCTAGACCGTGTCTGCAGGAAATATATCTTATCTTTAATCGGTCATTCAGCAGGGAACTGGGTCATCTGTGGTTTGTTAATATGTTGTGCTTGAGAGGTCATTGACCTCAAACAAACCATGGTAACAAGACACTAAACGCCTGCACATGACAGCTTGATAAATATAGGCAACCCCTTCCAATACGAAGTGCCACAACAAAATTCTTAAAGGATAGACATCTATAGACATCTATCATTCTGCTGATAAAAACAAAGTTTGACTCATAATATCTCTATTAAAATATACCAAAAGATTACAAAATAACAAGCTATTTCATGGAGGGACGATGTCTACGACTTCTCCTTGTTATATCTGATTTTCTTTTGGGTTCCGCGCTTTTGGGGACCCCAGCCGGCTTTCGATCATAATGGATACACTGGCGTTCTTATACATTACCTTATTTCCGTTTTTATATGTTTTTATGCACTCATCGTATGTCTACCAAGTTTTCAGAGAATGGTGTAGTAATAGAATTAAATTTTAATAACTTTAGTGTAATTATGACGTCATATGACGTCAGCGCTAATAATATAGTCCGCCATATTGGATTTTGACCAATGACGTCATCAAATTAGCATATTCTAAGCATATTAAATGATTTAACTTATATTTAATTATGTAAGATGTTACTAATGTTGGAAAAGAAGTGTAATTTAATATAAAACTCAGAAAATTTTTATGTTTAAACCAAAATTACTTCTATTTTCAAAAAAACTGCCTGCTAGAAACCCGTTGCCATGGCAACACAAAAAAACATCAACTTACTAGTATTAAAATAAAATGAACTTTTTTCCAGAGACATTTTAGGAAAGGTCTCCAAATTTGATACTTCGAGCGCAAGCCGTTTAGCCGCTATCTGAGATCAAAGTTGGGCCTCAAAAGCCCCTTCAGTCTGAAATGGGTTAAAAAATCGGGTATTTCTTCGTCTTCTTTTCTTCACCAAAAAATAGAAAAAGTTCAAAATGTATGATTTTTGTATGTAATGTGGACACAGAGGTTCCCACATCAGTTTGCAAAACAATTGAGCTGGTAGCATGTTGATAATTTCTAAAAATTAGCAAAAAACTGTCTTGGGGTCCGCGCGGACCCCAGGTGTACAGATTAATCAGTCCGGGAAGGTGACACTGTACTGTTGATGGTTAAATTGAAGTGTTTAAGTGCGGCAAGTTAGTGACCTATAAGTGGCTGACAACACACATAGTTTCTGAATAAATGCCTGTTCAACTACAGATCCCATTCGCCACTGACAGAAAAGTAATGGCTGTTACTTTTTAACGTCTTAACAGTTTTCAAATTCTATGAGTTGCTTGAGTTAAAATGAGTTTTCTGGTATAAAACAGATAAATGTTTACTTTGATGATGTCTTATCAAACTCGAAGGGCTTATTATTCTACATTTATCTCATGTCTAGGATGCTTTCTCAGACATCAGAAGAAATAACTGGTGATGAGAAAGAAAAAATAAAATCACCTAAAATTGACGATGTGGAGTATTTTTTCGAAGGGAGCATGCATGATGTTGAACAACCCAAACTCGGAATTTGAAAAACTGAACTCTTCATCCTAGAAATGAGATAAATGCGTTAATAAACAGGGGCCCACACTCTGGATCTTCTCTTCTTCAGTCCTCAGGAACGTGGCAGAAATCCGACACGCCTACAGAGATAGAGATCATAAGACAATTGTTTTTAGAAAATGTAGTTTTGCAGAAATAATTTGACGTTTCAATCAATCATGACGACAAGAAGAATACACATGACCTTTTAAATGCTATCCACAATGAGACTTTTAGGCAACTTTCAAGCAATGTTCATTAACAAGTGGTCATTCAAAGCACAAAACCCAAGAGAGGAGTAAATAGAATCAATTCTATCTTATAACTAGAAAGGTAACATTTACAAAGCAAATGCGTAATGTTTTATTACCTTCGCGTGATCTAGCCTAACAAACTACTGCTCTGCTTATAGGTAATCAAACAAATTCATATATGACATATATATGATGACCAGCCTCGAACTCTGTTCTGCTATAAAAATAACCCAACATGACAGGGTGTCAGATACAGCACCAGTTACCATGGTGATAGGCTTCTGGGCCGGTCATTGACATTAATTGTATGCAGGGGAAGATGAAGAACACATTTAAACACTATGTATTACTTCTATGTAAAGGTGTATGGAAATGAATATGAACCGACTGCTCAAGTTTCGGTACCAACAAAACAGCGAAATTGTATCTTAGGTCAGAAAGCTTATACTTGTTATGATCGGGTACCCTTCGAGTGACTGAATTGCCATACATTTTTACATAGTGTGTGTGCAGTCCGGGAAAAGAAATTGTTGCTGTAAACTTTTCGTACGGTGGAAGACACGCGTTACTGAATCGGTTTGTCTTCAAAACTGCAATAAACTGGTAGTTTGGTTGACCAGGGTACGTTGCTCACCTGAAAACTTAATAGAAAATCCGATACCACTATTGGAACTGTCGGAGGTGAATATAATGTGGGCAGTCCTCCCACTGGCCACGACGTGCCGGCCTGTGGTACCGCAGAATTTGCCGAGTTGTTTGCCGCTGGAGGTGGAGCCATCATACACCGTCACGGAGTCATACCTACAGCCAGAGGATTGTTCCAAGTCCAGACTTATAAACCTGCAGGAGAAAAAAAAATATTACAGAATATATGGTGCTGGGGTCCGCGCGTGTACTGTTTAGGGTTAACTTAAACTTTAAAGAGACAACTGTCATCAAAAGCCATGAAATGCCAAAAATGACTGGCTAAAGTTTACATAACCTCCAAATAAAGAACGTACCTTCCATTTAACCCTAAACAGAACACTATATATTCTGTAATATCTTTTTTGTTTCTAAAGATTTTTTTCTAAAATTTTAGGTAATTGTCACCCACAAAGTTGTCTCTTAGTACAGTGCAGAAAACTCCGTTTCGAACATTTATAAAAAATTATATCTGATTTTCTTTTGGGGTCCGCGCGGACCCCAGCCGGCTTTCGATCATAATGGATACACTGGCGTTCTTATACATTACCTTATTTCCGTTTCTATATGTTTTTATGCACTCATCGTATGTCTACCAAGTTTTCAGAGAATGGTGTAGTAATAGAATTAAATTTTAATAACTTTGGTGTAATTATGACGTCATATGACGTCAGAGCTAATAATATAGTCCGCCATATTGGATTTTGACCAATGACGTCATCAAATTAGCATATTCTATGCATATTAAATGATTTAACTTATATCTAAATGTTATTAATGTTGTAAAAGAAGTGTAATTTAATATAAAACCAAAATTACTTCTATTTAAAAAAACTGCCTGCTAGAAACCCGTTGCCATGGCAACACAAAAAAACATCAACTTACTAGTATTAAATTAGTATGAACTTTTTTCCAGAGACATTTTAGGAACGGTCTCCAAATTTGATACTTCTAGCGCAAGCCATTTAGCCGCTATCTGAGATCAAAGTTTGGCCTCAAAAGCCCCTTCAGTCTGAAATGGGTTTAAAAATCGGGTATTTCTTCTTGTCTTCTTTTGTTCACCAAAAAATAGAAAAAGTTCAAAATGTATGATTTTTGTATGTAATGTGGACACAGAGGTTCCCACATCAGTTTGCAAAACAATTTAGCCGGTAGCATGTTGATAATTTCTAAAAATTAGCAAAAAAACTGCTCTGGGGTCCGCGCGGACCCCAGGTGTACAGATTAATCAGTCCGGGAAGGTGTTCTGTTGAGGGTTAAAACTGTAACATGGTGTATACAAGGTAACGCACCGGAAGACAGCGGGATTACTCGTAATATATAACTTGAGGACTAAAGCCACTGTTACACATAGTCGAATACCCCATTCCCACACACCCCGAACTAGCCAAACACAACTATGGTTAGGGGTTTAGAGTGGCTCGGGAGCAAGGATAATGTCGGCTGTGGTTGGCTGGTGGTCGGCGAGGTTAGCTACTGTTTGGCTGTGCCAGAAGGATGCTTCAAAGTGTTTAAAATATTGCAGTGTGGACGAGAGTTTCGGCCATGGTTAGCTACTTTTGTGGTTGGCTAGTGTTCAGGGAAAGTCGACTAGTGGTCAGGGGAAGGTTCTGAATGTGTGACAGGGCCTTACCTGATGGCGGCCCGCCTTCCACTGCTGACAGTTATCGTCCAGGAACACCGGGCGTTGTCATTGTAGTTGTTCGGGTAACCAGGGGAGGTAAAAGTACCGCAGTCTCCGATGAGTATGGCAGGATTCTTACAGCCGGAGTAGTGCACTGGGATACAAGATACAAGATACAAGATACAAGATCTCTTTATTGGAAATCGCAGTGTTGCCACTGAATTAAAACCAATTTACATTTTAAAATAAGGAATTCATTAAAAGGTGGAATTCATTAAAAGCTGGACTTCCTTAAAGTTCACAAATAGGACAAATTATACACACACATTACAAAAAGAGTACAAAAAGAGGCAAGTTACTGTCCGTGCTGGTTTACAAGTCTTGTCATGTACGGCACACAAGAGTTCAAGAACCGCTTCGTTCTGGCTTTCGGACAGTTCAGTTTGTGGTTGTTGCGTGTTACTCTTCCTGTGATCTGAGCCCTAGGTGGTGGGAGCCAGTCCCTGAACTCAGAGCCTAGCAAGGACCTAGCAAACTTCAGAGACAGCTGTTCACGCCTAGAGGCAAGTGTTGTCAGTCCGAGGTGCTGCAGAGCATGTGAATACCCGCAGTAGTCTATCCCCATGATTGTACGGCACGCCCTTTTCTGTAACCGCTCCAGTTGATCAGACTGGCGTTTAGTTAGGCCTGAATGCCAGACAGGAACTGCATATTCCAGTATTGGCCTAACATACCCGATGTATATCGCCACCAGGTCACCTTCAGGTAGGTTAAACTTCTTCAGTCGTTTAAGGAGGAAGAGTTTTCTGCCCGTTTTACATGGCTATAGATGAAAGGTAAATCATACTATGCCACAATATGCGGTTCCTGCATGAATTGCAGAATGTATGCAACAGGAAGATTAGTCTTGTGGCCCGCGCCAACTTCGGACCAGGTCTCTTTATTACCTTCGCCCAAGAAAGGTTATGTTTTTCAGTAGCGTTTGTGTGTGTGTGTGGGG